GCCTGGTAGAAGGAAGCTCTACCCAACAGTGCCAGCAAGTGACATCAAAGGAATGGATAAAAAAACAAAAAAACCAAAACCCATTGCCGTCCAGTCAATTCTGACTCATAGCGACCCTATAAGGAAATCACTTTCTCCCCTAAATCCTCATGAAATTAGTGATCATGGCAATGTTTACCAACTGAGGTGTTAACCCTCAAAGGAAGCCCATATGGGTGACTTTCTAGTCACAAGGATGAAAATCTAACCATATGATGGAGAATCAGACTGTCATCGTCCTGACCCAGGGGCCAATTTTATTATTTAGCATATTAAAGATATGAAATGTCTTCTGTGTGATTTAGAAGATTTACCACATAAATGTACCATAACCAAAATCCGTAAGTGAATCTGTGAAACCTTTAGATATTTAATTCTATCAAACACTGGAGATGGGATCGGGTCAACGCCATCTCATGGAAGCAGCCACATGAAGCTAGAGGTGCACATTCCACAGGGCAGTCTGCCTGGAATAGTCCACAGGTGGTGTCATAGGGATTAGGAGAGACCTAAGGATCTGACAGCCAGAACACAGATGCTGTAAAAGCACTGGATCCTGCCTGGACACACCAGTCAGCTGTACAGGATGCTTTGTGCACACTGGGGGAATCTCTAGGCCTAGGTGAAAGCATGTGGAATGTATGGAAAGTTGGAGACCATTAACTGAAAGAAGCAGGTTATAAAATGCATGTACAGTGTTAACCTAATTTTGGCAAAAAGAAAAAAAAAAATATATGTCCATAAAAATATCTGAGACACAATGTGTTAACAGTGGTCATCTTTGGACAGGGCAACATGGTGTGTTTAGTTTCTCATTCTTGATTATAGCTTCTCTTCAATACACATATACTGCTTTTTTAATTTAAAAAGATAGCAGATGGAAGGCAAGGAGGTGGAGAAAGTGAATGTAAGCTGCTCTTCCTTTCTGTTGTGAAGGGAGCAACAGGAGGTGCTGTCGCAGGGGAAGATTAACCAGTAAGCAAGGTACACATGGGCTTGTGTTACTTATTAATCGATAGTGCACAATTTCACATGGTTTTTACCGTATCTTTGATGTGCCTCAAGGCTCTGTGCTGCCGATTTGAAGCTGTTAGTCCCCACCGGGTTGAATTTTCTGTCACTCCTAAAACTGACAGATGTCACAAGCTGGTTGGAGAGAACTCTTATGAAGGATGACAGAATCAGGATTAACTGTGACATCACAGAATCCAGTAATTTTTGTTGACTACAAGTTCAGAGTGTGACATGGCTGTTAAAGCTAAGGCCACTTGAGGCTGCGTTAATTACAGGGGTGAGCAAATAAGGAGGCCGCACTGCTCAGGTGGCATCTGGACCATTATGTCCAGTCCTGGCCCCATGGTGTAAGGGTGCAGCTGACAAATGAGCACCCGAGATGGTAAGGCTCTGGAGGTGTTTTCATGAGAAGGTGGGAAGAACTTTGAGTGTAGCCTAGAGAAGGGAAGACTGGGTGGTTACTTTTCTGACGTATTAAAAGATGACTCATAAAGATGGGTTGGACTTGCTCTGTTTCACCCAAAGGAAAGGACTGGGACCCAGGGGTGGAAATTCAATCTAAGAAAGAATTTTCTAACAGTTGAAACTACAAAAAATTCCATGGAAAGGGAACTCCCTTCATTTAAACCAACTGAGCAGAGGCTGGGTGACCAGTTGTAAGGAACTCTTCAGGCTGATTTCTATCCTGAATGGGGGTAGGAACTAGAACCTCTTCTGTCCATTCCCACCCTCTATGAAATCTAATTCAATAAATGAAATTAATTTTTACAGCACTGTCTTAGTCATCTAGTGCTGCTATAACAGAAATACCACAAGGAGATGGCTTTAACAAAGAGAAGTTTATTCTCTCACAGTCCAGTAGGCTAGAAGTCCAAATTCAGGGCACTGGCTCCAGGCTCCCTCTGTTGGCTCTGCAGGAAGGTCCTTGTCATTAGTCTTCCCTTGGTCTGGCTGCATCTCAGTGCAGGAACCTCAGGTCCAAAGAATGTGCTCTGTTCCCAGTACTGCTTTCTTGGTGGTATGAGGTTCCCATGTCTCTCTGCTTGCTTCTCTCTTTCATATCTCAAAAGAGACTGGCTTAAGATACTATCTAATCTTGTAGATCTCATCAATATAACTGCCACTAATCCATCTCATCACATCATAGTGACAGGATTTACATCACATAGGGAAATCACATCAGATGACGAAACGGTAGACAATCATACAATACTGGGAATCATGACCTAGCCAAATTGAGATATTTTGGGGGCACACAATTCAATCCATGACAAGTATGTTTATAAAAACTATAGGAAAATCACAGGGAAGTTTTGTGGAGGGGAGAAGAAAATATTATTGGAGAATCAACAATTTAAAATAGATATTTAAGTGAAAGGCAGTATCATTTCAGTCAACCAAAGCTTAGCACAAAAACTTTTTTTCCCTTTGTTAGATTCTTTTATTTTTGTTGTTGTAGTTTAAGTGAAAGTTTCAATTCAAGTTAGTCTCTCATACAAAAATTTATACATACATTGTTATGTGACCCTAATTGCTCTCCCTATATTGTGACAGCACACTCCTCCTTTCCAACCCTCACTCCCCGTGTCCATTCAACCAGCTTCTAACCCTCTCTGCCTTCTCATCTCACCTCCGGACAGAAGCTGCCCATTTAGTCTCATGTATCTACTTGAGCTAAAAAGCTCACTCTTCACAAGTATCATTTTATGTGCCACAGTCCAGACCAATCTTTGTCTGAAGAGTTGGCGTTGGGAATTGTTTTAGTTCTGGGTTGACAGAGAGAGTCTGGGGGCCATGCTTTCTGGGGTTCCTCTAGTCTCAGTCAGACCACTAAGTCTGGTCTTTTTACTAGAATTTGAGTTCTGCATCCCATCCTTCGCCTGCTCCATCAGGGACTCTCTGTTGTGTTCCCTGTCAGGGTGGTCATTGGTGGTAGCCGGGCACCATCCAGTTCTGGTCTCAGGCTGATGAAGTCTCTATGTGGCCCTTTCTGTAAAAACTACCTCTTTAAAATTAAGAGATGCAGCATTTAATTACACTTGTGTTTCCATGAAGTCTCTACTATAAGCTGTAGCTACAGTACATACTTTCTAGTTTTGCACTTAAGTTCCATGAGGAAGGAATGATGAAAACGGCCTATTTTACTGGAACTAAGTCTTTTTGACACCAAATAAGAATACTGATTAGTGCTGGGGCTCAGAGTGAAGACTTAAGATTTCCCTACTCAAATCCATGATCTGTGTGCCAAGGTGTCAGAGCTACCGAGAGCAGGAAGGTGAGCAGAATGCTCCAGCAGGCTCTGCTCCCCTCTAAGAACATGTAGCATACGTGGAGAAAGGGATCTTCACATGGTATCCACTGTGGTCCGTGATTCCCCTGAAAGTCTGGCAAATTCTGTGCTCATGGTATTTTTCTAGGGAGAGGAACACAGTTTTCATCAGATTCTCAAAGGTGTTTATAACCAAAAGGGAGTGAAGAGTGAGATCTGCAAGAACACGCGGTGGGCAGCACGCAGAGAGGAGCAACCTTCCACTCCCTTTTCTGATGCAGGCTGGTGCTCTCCTCTCTGCCACTGCAGTCCCTCACTGCTGTATCGTCGGGGTGGGGGGGATCACACTAGATGATTTTTAGTTTCCCTTCCTACTCTAAAATACCATGACAAAGAAATGTCGGTAGCACATACTCTTGCTCACAATGATACCTCAGTCCTCAAAGCCTTAGTCTTTCCATTCATGAAGGAGCGGGTGGCCCCAGGACCTGAGTCCACAGTGTGTGACACGTTCCCAATAGCTGTGACAGTTGTATCCCCCTTAAATCCTGGATGTGGGCACATACAGCTTCGATGGAGATGTGACCAACCATTCTGGCATTGTTATGACTGATTGTTATCAACTTTTCTGATTAAAAACAAACAATATCAAATGACTGCCTTATTGTGTCAAAGGTAACCTTATGCTTAAATTCATATGAAAAGCCACAGAATTTGGGGGGCAACATTAAGTAGCTGATTATAGAGTTATTTTGAAATATTAAGTCTCACTTCTCCCCAGAAAACCACACCCACAAGTATCATTTCAGTCAATAAGTAAAAAGTATTTTAGTACTGTCTACACTGGAAGTGGGGAGGAAGGTAAGACAGAGAGAAATGAAACCCAGTATCAAATGTTTTCCTTCTCTAGAGACCTTTTAAAATAAGCTTAATACTCTGGATATCGGGATCTAGAATGATTCCAGTCCTCCTTTTAAGCAGAGAAAAGAAATTGAGCCACTCCTATGATTTTAAGTATCAAACATCCTAAGGTGCTTCAAAACCAGAAAGGAAATGAAAGTGGTTGATCCCACGCATAAAACCAGAAGCACCACGAAGGCTTTTAAGTAATTCAAGTGAAGGCTAATTGGTGGATTCTCCTGAGCACCCCGTGTGAGCAAAAATTTACACTAATACCTTCAATATTTAATTTTGTACTTGTACATTTTTGAAGTCAAAATTTACTGTCATTGTTTATGAAAAATTAGATTCAGGGATTTGCAGAGTATTCTCAGTAGTAGAATAACAGAGAAATGCTTTTTCCTTTCAATTTGAAAACATTTGCTGTTATGAATTGAATTGTGTCCCCCCCAAAATATGTGTTGTAAATCCTAACTCTATGCCTGTGGTTATAATCCCATTTGGGAATGGGTTGTCTTTGTTATGTTAATGAGGCAGGACTAGTGTGGGGTGTATCTTGAATCAATCTCTTTTGAGATATAAAAGAGATTAAACCAGCAAGCGAGAGAAGCAGAGATGGGGGAATAGAGATGCTAAGCCACATGAAGACTGCCAGGAGCAGAGGCTAAAAGAGACAAGGACTTCCCTGGGAGCTGTCAGAGACAGAAAGCCTTCCCCTGGAGCTGCCACCCTGAATTTGGACTTCTAGCCCCCCAAATTGTGAAAAAATAAATTTCTGTTTGTTAAAGCCATCCACTCGTGGTGTATCTGTTATAGCAGCACTAGATAACTAAGACACTTGCTAATGTTGATTCAAAACACGACACTCCAACATCTACCAGTGTTCATCTTACAACTGTAATCAGAGACGGTGATGTAAAAACATACAGTCAAGTGTCACTTAAAAACACGCAAAAATTGGACATGCTATACATTTCTCTTTTAAAATGTAGTCTGTATTATTTTCACCAATCAAAACACACATAATATATTTTATTATAAAAACTTAGGCAATGTTACTTTTGAGATATGTAATCTGATAGGCCACGCCTGGATTTACTACCAGTATGAAATACTGGAGAAGTTATTGTAAATCAACCAGACAAACTCATCCACAGTTATCATGATATACAAAGCATTAAATCCTGCTTAAACCAGAACCCATTCAGTGTCTCAACTACCGCTTCTGGGTATCAGCCAGGAGTCCTGCAGAGGGCTTTCTCCTTCTAGCCCTGGGCTCTGAACATCAGCTAAGCCCTGTTTCCTGTCTTCTCCATGACCAAAGCTGAGTCACCTCTTGAGCAGTGTTTCTAAACTGCTCTCATATTCTGTTAGGACTCTGTCTGCTCTCTGGAACTTGCACTTGAAATCAGGACCCGACACAGAGGAGGCAGTCATTTCCTTTGTGACTGAAAACTAAGCCAATAAACAAAACGAACCTAGCCCAAACTCCAGGATAATAATAAATTACCTGGTTTATAAAAATACATGTCTAAAATAGTTACTTCCAGGGTTGTGTACAATATAAATTACAAAAATAAAATAGAAAAGATGAAAAAGTTGAGCACATTTTTCAATTATTTATCCAACATCAGCTTTTGTCCATGGAGATCAATTTGAAACCATCTGCGCTGCACCAGGACCATGGCAACTCTAGGCTCAAGAGGGAAAATGCTGGGACAGGGTGAGGTATTTCTATGCAGACAGGTTGTCTCCAGCCCTGTAGCCTTTCCCAGGTGCACTCACCTCTCCTTGATGGAAGATGGTTGTGGCAGGAAACCTGTCCCTATCATCACAGCTTCATCTGTGACAACAGGCCCACTGAACGGAACAGATGGACAAGTGAGCAGAAAGCCGATCTGTGGGCACTTCACTCCATTTATGAATGTCTTGGGGCAATAGGACCCTGATGTACCCTCAGAACCAGGGTGCTGCATTTACACAGCTTTCAGGGCAGATCATGAAGTTTAAAAAAATCTCCCCTTTCTTTGTTTTTCCTTTTAAAGACAGATTTAGTAAAGTCTTTTAAAAGAAAATATGCTAGAAAGAAGGCCATTCTAAGATGTTTATATATGCATAGTGATATCTTCCTTAATTATACCATCAGGCCACCAAGGCCAAAATAATCCCAAACCACCTAAGAGGCGTTTCTGCCTCAATCCAAGTTAGTATTTCCATTTTTTACTAGAACGTGTCTAATGGTACAATATAAAACTATTTCTCATTTCAATATTAATTTTGTTTATCAAGGATTCTAGCTTCCAGTGACAAAACCAACCGATAAGATACAACTGGTACAGAGAGAATCATATATTTTAGATAACATTTACAATAAACTTTCTTATCAAAATTCCTCCTCAGAATACATTCTACAGAATGTTGAACAAATAGTGTCCAAAATAATTAAACACAAGATATGAATCGGTAACAAAGCAAGATCAAAGGAAAAACATAAGCACACGTAGCTGAAATGTGATCACTGTAACTCCATTTCTGCAATGACATTTAAATACTCAGTATCTTCATGACTTGTAAATAATTTACATATCAAAAAGTCTGAAAGTATCAATTTCAGGTGAGCAGTTTTAAATCATAAAACAGTCCACGGTTAACCACTACTCTTCAGGGTCCTTCGTCCCTCTCCCTCTGAAGAATTTTCCTAGACCACTCACAGCTTTCCCTTAGGGACAGGAAATGCCTCCACAAATGGGAAACAAGGACAAACAAGCATTCCAAATCAGCCTTGCTTCCTAAAATGGACTAAAAGGGAATTTATATCTAACCTGGTTTCTCTCAGAAGAGAAATAAAACTGAGTCATGATGCTGTGTTAGAAAAGGGAAATGCTGCCTTGTCCACTCATGTATTTTGCCTTAAATGATGTAAGGTAAGTAAAGGACCCAGTCCAGTCTCTGTCTCAGAGTCAGCACTTAGCAAATGGCTGCGATCATCTGCAGTGGTTATTTTGCAAAATTCTACTCTAGGATTCAAGAATCTATTTGCCATCATATTATTGAGATGGAGTGTTATGTGCCTAATAAAGAAGGTAAAGTAGATAGGATTTTAAATGTGTACATGTCTTCAGCAGTACAAAACTTAAAATTTTATCATGCGGTAAAGCTGAATTTACAAATCATCCCAAATCAAGACAATCTAGAGGGAAAAAAAAGAGTACATATATGTGTCTTGGTTTTAGCAGTGATAATTCTCAGCCCAAACATCACAAATTAAAGAAAAGTTATATTTTTATTTATTGAATAGATATTCCTTTTTGTCTGAAATACAAAAGAGAGGAAATGATTACACCATAAAAGAGGGTAAGATAATATGATGATGGCCAATTAATACACACAAATCTATTTTTTCTGGACAGACATCAAATTATTTAAGATGATGAAGAGATAAGTCTAGAAGGAGCACTACCTGGAAGATTATTTGGCATTTAAATACCGATTTCCAAAGTGCTAGATGGGCAAGATCAAGCAAGCATTTGTGGTCACATGCATGTAAGTCCCAACAGATACTGATGATGAGAAATTGTCACTACTATCACCAAACAACTGTAAAAGAATTAATCTATTCTAATTGCTCACCTGAAATGATCTTGAACAAAATGTCTAAAACTGTGGCTTGTACTTTTTTTCTTCAGACATAATCTGCTTCGTTTTATAATCTAAGCAGGCAATCTAGTAGAACTGAGTAAGGGAAAGGCATTGTGTTTCTTACATGCAGAACATGGAGCTCCTCTATTTGGTTCCATCAACTCCGAAGCATTGCAGGCCCATGGAAGTGAGAGTTCCTTCACTGACGATAAGTCTGCTATTTCTGACTTATCATCGACAACCTTCCAGGGGTCCTGTTGAGGCATCGAGGCTGCTGTCGGTATCTGAGGCCAGTGTCTGCTCAGTGGACATGGATGAAATGTCGTTGATAGATGATGACTGAGAAGGAGTAGCGTTGCTACTTACTGCTGCATCTGTGCTAAGAAAACCAAATATCATAAAATCTGAGGTACCACAGTGCTGCAATTCCAGGCACTGAGACTTAAGGCCATTTCTCAGCTCTGTCCTTCTGCAGTCTCCCAATCCTAATTATTAGTATAAACAAGTAGTTAGTCAGCTGTGCATTTTTAACTTTTTCTTTAGGCCGTGAATCCTCAATAGTCCTGTCTCTTTCTCTACAATATTCTCCTCTTCTTCCCAAGGGCTAAACATCATATATGTAGTCATGCATAATCATGTTAACTACTCAAGAAATATCTAATGATTTCAAAAAGACAGCAAAAGAAAATTGTTGACTTTATCCTACAACTACCAGTATCACAAAAGACGGAAGCCCAAATAAGATTCAAGTCTCATCAGACATTTCAATTACAATCATAAACACCACGTCTAAGGAAAAAAAGCATCAACCTTCAAAGAAATCTTCTGCAATAAAAACAGCTTCCAAAACAAGGACCGTGTATCAAAGAGAAGAAAAATTCAGTGGCTCCTTGATCATTTTATTTTTGTTTTATGAATCCAGGAAACTGACACTTTAATCTTTTAAGGCAAATGAAATTCTATTTCCTACTATACATATTTTAGCCTGGTCTGAGCAAAAACAAATTATCTAGGCTCTCAGAGATCAGAGTCTGCAGTCTGAAATCTGGTTAGTTAAAAACAAGCACCTAAATTCTCACTGAGGTTATACAATTTCTAGACACTTAACACTTAGGTCATGTTGAAAATAAAATTCAAAAATAAGACGTAAGTAGTGTAATCTACACTTTCTTGTGTGTGTTTTTCAGAAAGAGTGGGAGTGAGAAAATGAAGATAATTAAGAGCTCTATTTAGTAAATGGGTAGACAACTACAGACAAAAGTTAACATCACTAATATTATAACCCCTTGCTATGCAGTTGATTCGGAGTCATAGCAACCCTATACTATAATTATAAAAAGGAGCCCTGGTGGTGCAGTGTTTAAGTGCTCGGCTGCTAATCAAAAGGTCGGTGGTTCAAACCCACCAGCTGCTCTGAAGGAGAAAGATGTGGCAGTCTGCTTCCATAAAGATTAACAGCCTTGGAAACCCTATGGGGCAGTTCTACTCTGTCTTATAGGGTTGCTACGAGTTGGAATTGACTCGACGGCAGGGGGTAATATAACGTTATCTAGTTTTTGTCAGGCTTCTGTCACTAGATAAATCAAGTAGAAAAACAGGAGAATTGCATGACCAACTTTCTAAAAAGACACGAAACTCCATTTTACCTAGATTTGCTTTAATTGTTCTTTTTTAACTTGGTGGGGCCAGTACAGAGAGAGTCATGTACACATCTGTAAATGGAGCTAACAGCATTTGTTGTGGAAATGAAACAGTGTTTATAATGCAATTAGTTTGGAACCTGGCACATCAGTAAAATGTTAGCTGCTGCCACTGTGAGACCACCAGGGCACCAAAAACAGGGAGACTATTTCACACAAGGGGCTTCCAAATCCCATGCAGGTCAAACTGGCATTTAACACACTGCTGCCATTTATAAAACTTGAATAGAATAGAGAAAGAAAAATATTGAACAATCAAACAATTAAGCAATCACTAACCTGAAGGCTGATCTTTTACAACGCCATTCTTGCTTCTTTCTTCCCAATCCATTACTTCTTTGTAAATCAGCTCTTCAAATAAAAACGCAAGTTACAATGCTTCATCAGTTTTTTTATATCTGTAAAATCTGCTTCCCACTCAACTGTGGCCACTCTAAGGGCACTGCACTGTGTACTTTCAATCGTGACACACAGTCAATCCAGTTACACAGTCTACCTGGATCCAAAACATCCAAACAGCCAAAAACGTAGGCGGTTTTAAAAAGTGGAGGAGGAGGTGGGAAAATAACTAGATAGTAGACACATGCTAACTTTGTTTTTTTTTTTTGTTGTTTTTTCAAATTGTGCTTTAGATGAAGGTTTACAGAGCAAATTAGTTTCTCATTAAACAATTAATACATATATTGTTTTGTGACACTGGTTGCCAACCCCACGAGGTGTCAACACTCTCCCCTTCTTGACCTCGGGTTCCCTATCATCAGCTTTCCTGTCCCTCCTGCCTTCTCGTCCTTGCCCCTGGATGGTGTGCCCATTTAAATCTCATTTTGTTTTATGGGCCTGTCTAATCTTTGGCTGAAGGGTGAACCTCAGGAGTACTTCAGTACTGAGTTAAAAGGGTGTCTGGGGGACACACTCTCAGGGTTTCTCTAGTCTCTGTCAGACCAGTAAGTCTGGTTTTTTTTTGTGGGTTTGAATTTTGTTCTACATTTTTCTCCAGCTCTGTCTGGGACCCTCTCTTGTGATCCCTGTCAGAGCAGTCAGTGGTGGTAGCCAGGCACCATCTAGTTGTGCTGGACTCAGTCTGGTGGAGGCTGTAGTAGTTGTGGTCCATTAGTCCTCTGGACTAATCTTTCCCTTGTGTCTTTGGTTTTCTTCATTCTCCCTTGCTCTAGACAGGGTGGGACCAGTGGAGTATGTGAGATGGCTGTTCATAAGCTTTTAAGACCCCAGATGCTATTCACCAAAGTAGGCTGTACAATATTTTCTTTATAAACTATGTTATGCCAATTGAGCTAGATGTCCCTCGAGACCATGGTCTCCAGCCCTCAGCTCAGTAATGCCATCCCTCAGGGAATTTGGATGTTATCTATGAAGCTTCCATGACCTTGCCTTGGTCAAGTGACACATGCTTGGTCAAGTGACACAACATGGGGGAAGTCGGCACAACATAACCAAGGCAAAGGAGGACACTGAAAGGTATACAAGAGTAAAAGGCAACAATGGCAAATACTATTACATATAGAGCCCTCGTGGCAGAGCAGTTAAGAGCTACGGTGAGCTACGGCTGCTAACTAAAAGGCTGGCAGTTTGAATCCACCAGCTGCTCCCTGGAAACCCTATGGGGCAGTTCTACTCTGTCCTATAGGGTCGCTATGAGTCAAAATTGATTCGACGGCAATGGGTTTATTAATATACAATCCTGCAACGAGAGTATAACAACAAACAATAATGTACAAGTGGACACATAGGTAGTTATGTAAGCTGAACAAGGGTGGGAGAGCGTATGCAAGGACACCCATGTGCATTTATAGGGTTGGCAGCAGATATTCCTAGATATATATTTATACATGCTGCAAATATACCCGTGTATGTGATAGAGTGCACAAGAGGCACAGTCATGAAAATCTCCTAGCCATAATCAAACACCTCCTGGGACTGAGATACTGGGCTTGAGGGCTAGCGACCACAGTATCGGGGGACACCTAGGTCAACTGGCATAAAATAGTCCATAAAGACAATGTTCTACATCCTACTTTGTTGATTAGCAACTGGGTCTTAAAAGCTTGTGAGCAGCCAGCTCTGGGTCTCCTTCCATCTGGGGCAAAGAAAAGTGAAGAAAATCAAAGACTTAAGGAAACAATTAGTCCAGAGGACTAATGGACCACATGAACCACAGCCTCCACTAACCTGAGACCAGAAGAACTAGATGGTGCCCGGCTACCACCATTGATCGCTCTGACCAGGATCACAGTAGAAGGTACCAGATAGAGTGGGAGAAAAGGTAGAACAAAATACAAACTCATAAAAAAGATGAGACTTACTGGTCTGGTAGAACCCTCGAGACTGTGGCCCATTGATACCCTTCTAACTTAGAATTGAAGCTACTCCTGGAGATCACCTTTTAGCCACATAAAAGACAGGCCTATGAAGTGAACAATAACATCTGGGAGGAACATGCTTCTTAGAACAATCAACTATACGAGACCAAAAGGGCAGCAAAACTGGGCAAACAGAAATGAGGAACCCAAGGTGGAAATGGGGAGAGTGCTGACACGCTGTGGGATTGCAACCAATGTCACAGAACAATCTGTGTATAAATTGTTGAATGGGAAACTAATTTGCTCTGTAAACTTTCACCTAAACCACAATAAAGTATTATGTTTAAAAAAGTATAGTAAGTAAAAAATCCAATTTAACAAATGAAAAAGAAAGAGGGAGAGCTAGCGTGAGTATTGTTAAAGTCCTTGATGTTCCCACCTCCATTCTCACGTTTTCCCCATCATTACTAGTAGTTCTCTAGATGTAACTGGCATCCTCTTGTGGGTTATAAGCCCCTCTTGACTGTGTAGAAATGAATCCAAATACCTAAGTCTTTTCCTCAACTTTCATTTTTAAGAAAAACTAATTAGCTACTAAGTTATCAGAGGTTCCTCAAATTTTAATAATCATGAACTAAAACCAGATCTTGCAAGCAGGTACTAGGGCTAAGAGCAACATCTTGCCATGTAGCATGGCTGCTGGCAGTACCCTGAGTGTGTGCACACGTGTGTAAGAGGCACTCCTGGTACCCTGGGATGAGTGCACTGACCCTCAGTTTTGACTTGCACTGGTCACAGTGCAAGGTTCTCAATTGCTACTAATCTTGCCTTTTAATCAGCCTCTTCATTACCAGTTTACTCCGTTGTGGGTCATTTGGTTAATATTACAGTGGGTAATAACACCCATATGCATAGTTTTGATCTGCAATTTCCCACAAATTAGATTTTAAAACATATATACAACTACATTTCTTAAAAATACAAGTAGAAGCTCACTTGGTCCTCAGCCCTGGCTCCTCCATGTCTGCTTACACGGGAACTTTATAGGTTAACATGCAGCCTGTGGACTGGGGTTACTCAAGGCCCTGGGTGGTGCAAATGGTTAATGTGCTCAGTAGCTAACTGAAAGGTTGTCGGTTTGAGCCACCTAGAGGCTCCTGGGAAGAAAGGCCTGGTGATCTACTTCCGAAAAATCAGTCACTGAAAACCCTATGGAGGACAGTTCTATGCTGAAACACATGGGTTGCCATGAGTTGGAGTGAACTCAATGGCAACTGATTTATCAGGGTAATCATGATACAGTTACTGAGTTCAATTTGCCAATACTTGATAATGTAAAATGTATAAAAGCCCTTAATTTCCCCTTCTGAAACAAATAGTACACTATTCATACATGCTCCTCTCTAATTCTGCTATCTTCAAATTCTTTTTCTCCTCAAAAAGGGGAAGAGATAGGAAAAGTAGGCTGCAGGGTCTTCTGCCCCTCCCCTAAAAGGGCCACTGTCAAAAAGTTAAAAGCCTCTGCTTTACGGGATTACAGGAAATGTCATACATGAGCATCAAAACAATCACTGCCTTTACCTTTCCATTCTTCTATTGCATGTTCTCTTTCTTCCAACTGAGCATCATAAATTTGCGGTGGTGGCTAAAAATTAAATTACATGTAAAGTCAACAGCTCAAAAAATAACGAGGCATTCAAAAACAAAGATAAAATCACTTAGAAGACTTCTACTTATGACGTGGATTTAGCTTCATTCAGTATAGGGTGTATTAAAGACTTTTTTCATAAATGTGATAGCACATCAGTTTCAGAACCAAAATAATTAAGAAAAAAATTAACGAAAGAAATAGAGCTATTATGTTCCTCTTAATAATTATATGACTTTGAAACACTCTGGAAGATACCTGCCCAAATGCAATCAGAAAACTGATCATCACAGACCGGGTCCTAGACTGCCACCGTGCACTTGGCGCTGTGCCAGGAGCTCTGGGCAGCACCATCCTCTCCCAAAGTACATTTCAGGTTTACATTTACCCCAAACCTAATCCCAACTCAGAGATGGATCGCTCCAAAAGTCTGCTTATAAACCAGATGTTTGTAAATCAGATTATTTTCACATAGAACTATTTACAATGGTGGTCAAATCCACAGGCCAAGACATAACAGTGTGTTCCACTGATGGCATAAAGTAAGGATGTCACACTATCAGTATTTCGCTTACAACTAGAGATCACTCACACCAGCGTTTCCATGGAAGAGTGTACCTAAGCACCAAACTCAGAAGGGGAACTCGTCTGGCACAGGCAATGGGAGAGGCCCAGACGCCTTTGGGGAAGGATAAATGAACTTGTGATTTCCAGCAAGTCTCTTAACCTTTCTGATTAGGTGTTTTAGACTGGATGATGACGCAACCAAAGCCCCTGGCACAGTGTCAGGTACACAACAGGTGCTTAATAAAAGGCTGATATTATTATTACAGAGCCCTGGTGGCACAGTGGTTAAGAGATCAGCTGCTAACCAAAAGGTCAGCAGTTTGAAATCACCAGCCGCTCCTTGGAAACCCTATGAGGGCAGTTCTACTCTGTCCTATAGGGTCGTTATGAGTCAGAATCGACTTGATGGCAATGAGTTTGGTTTGGTTCTGGTTATTGTTATTACACACCAGCTTTTGCATAAATGAAGACAACTGCATCACCACTGTATAAGCATGTTCGCTCTAAGGTACTCTAAGCTAGAGCCCTAATAACTGTTGTTAGGTGTCACTGAGTTGCTTTCAACTCACAGTGACCATATGTACAACAGAACGAAATGTTGCCCGGTCCTGTGCTATCCTCACAATCACTGTTATGCTTGAGCCCACTGTTGTAGCCACTGTGTCAATCCATCTCATTGAGGGTCTTCCATTTTTTTGCTGACCTTCTACTTTACCAAGCATGTACATTGAAAAGGAATGCTGTCATGTTCATCAAAAAGAACATTTCAAAATCTATCCTGAAGTATAATGCTGATCCCAGTAGTAAGTACCCCCAAAAGGGGCTGTGGCCCAGGTCACGGACCACCCTGTGGCTTCTTTATAATCAGGAGCCCGTTTATATCTAGGACTTGTTTCCTTATTTAGCCATTCTGGATGAGCAGACAGAAGGTCCCAGGAAGTGTAAGCCCTGCTTCTACATACAAGCCTTTTCAAAACAGATACTTACTGCTTCTGCCTCAGTAGGGTCATACCACACAGTGATATACGGGTGACGTAAAGCTTCATCTACAGAGATTCGCTTATCGGGATCGATCACTAACATTTTTGACAACAAATCTCTGGCTTGACTTGCTAAGGGGAAAAACAAATATTAGATTAATAGACTACTGCTCTTAATTTGAAAACAATGGAAATCACACAGCACAAAACTAAATGTGACAACAGATACCTTTCAAATCAGGAAATGTAGAAAATTAACTTTGAAAAAATTTTTGAAAGGCTCAAGATCAACAGAGCCTTTTGCTTTAAGAAAAGTCAAGCAGCCACTTTTTCTCCTTTCGAATGGGGTTTTATGTCTCCAAGTCTGTGAGAGTAGGAAGAATAATGTGAGTAGGAGGGAGGGTCTCAGGCAGCCTCAGACCAGCGTCCAGACAGGGACCATTACTCAGAAATCTGGGCCAGGGAAAGGGGCAAGAGCTGAACTGGGTGGTGCTCTCCAGAGTTCAGGCATGAGGCGCAGGCGGGTACCTTACTTGATGTTACATCAAAATGAACTCAAAACAGAATTTCTAAACCACACGATAATCTCACATTCCTGCAGTACAAAATACTTTACAGATGCCTCTGCTTTGCCTGTGTAAGTGTTGACAATATACACTTAAAAAAAAACAAAAACTAGAGACTAGTAGTTGGGAAAAAAAACTAACAAGTTCAATAACTTAGTTAAATATGAGGCTCACTTAGGTTTTGGTAACTGAAGTTCACAACATGTACAGGCAAAGAAGAGATTGGGGTTTTTCTGATTAAGGCAGTTTCCATCGATGTCTGTAGAAATAAAATTTTTTTTTTTCCCCTAAGCAATCACATTTTTAGTAAAGGGCATAGGAGAAGGGGTTGGGAGAGAGGAACTTTTTTTTTTTTTTTAAATTGTGCTTTAGGTGAAAGTTTACAGAGCAAATTAGTTTCTCATTAAACAGTTAATACTCAAATTGTTCTGTGACACTGGTTGCCAACCTTGCGATGTGTCAACACTCTCCCCTTCTCCACCTCGGGTTCCCTGTTTCCATTTGTCCAGTTTTCCTGTCCCTTCCTGCCTTATCGTCTTTGCTTTTAGGGTGGTGTGCCCATTTAGTCTAGCATACATGACTGAACTACGAAGCACGTTCCTCATGTGTGTTAACTGTTTGCTCTATAAACCTGTCTAATCTTTGGCTGAAGTGTGAACCTCAGGAGTGACTTCAGTTCTGAGTTAAAGGGTGTCTGGGGCCATAGTCTCAGGGTTTCTCCAGTCTCTGTTGGACCAACAAGTCTTTTTTCTCTTTTGTGAATTTGAATTTTGCCCTACATTTTTTTCTCCCACTCTATCTGGGACCCTCTATTGCAATCCCTGCCGAGAGCAGTTGGTGGTGGTAACCTGGCACCATCTAGTTGTTCTGGGTTCAGTCTGGCAAAGGTTGTGGTCCATTAGTCCTTTGGACTAATCTTTCCCTTGTGTCTTTGGTTTTCTTCATTCTCCTTTGCTCCAGCTGGGATGGAACCAGTAGATGTATCTTAGATGGCCACTGGCAGACTTTAAAGACCCCAGAAGACACTACTCACCACAGTTGGATGTAGAACATTTTCTTTATAGACAATTTTATGTCAACTGAGCTAGATGTCCCCCAAGACCATGGTCCCCAGCCCTCGGCCCAATAGCTCGGTCCCTCAGGGAGTTTGAACGTGTCTGTGAAGCTTCTATGACTTTGCCCTCATCAGGGTGTGCTGACTTCCCCAGTATTGTGTACCGTCTTACCCTTCTCCAAAGTTACCACTTACCTACTAACTAGTTAAGTGTTTTTCTCTCCTGACTCCTCCCCTCCCTCGAAATCATTAAAGATTGTTTCTTTCTGTGTGGAAACATTTTCACGTGTTTTTAGAATAGTGGTCTCATACAATATTTGTCTGTTTATTATTGACTTATTTCACTCAGCATAATGCCCTCCAGATTCATTCATGTTGTCAGATGTTTCACAGATTCATCATTGTTTTTTATTGTTGTGCAGTATTCCATTGTGTGTATGTATCATAGTTTGTTTATCCATTCATCTGTTGATGGGCACTTAGGTGGTTTCCATCTTTTTGCTATCGTGAGTAATGCTGCAATGAACATGGGTGTGCATATGTCTATTCATATGATGGCTCTTATTTCTCTAGGATATATTGTTAGGAGTAGGATTTTTGGATCGTACGGTATTTCTATTTCTAGCTTTTTAAGGAAGCGTCATACGGTTTTCCAAAACGGTTGTACTATTTTGCATTCCCACCAGCAGTGCATAAGAATTCCAATCTTCTTGCAACCTCTCCAACATCTGTTATTTTCTGTTTTTTTGATTCACGCCAGTAATGTCAGTGTGAGATGGTATCTCATTGTAATTTTGATTTGCATTTCTCTAATAGCTAGTGATTGAGAGCATTTCCTCATGTGTCTGTTAGGTGCCTGAATGTCTTCTTTGGTGATGTGTCTGTTCGTATCCTTTGCCCATTTTTAAATTAGATTATTTATCTTTTTATTGTAGAGGTGCCGGATATGAGAGATGAACTTTTTGTTCAACTACTAAAATATGGTTTCTGACTTCAACTGGGCTAGAATTTATATTCAAGGGTTCTTCTTATCTGAAAGCTTTTTGAATTCTAATTGAATTCAAAAGTCAGACTGATTTGAACACTTTTACTTTTGCCAAAGGCTTCAGTTAAGCCATTTTATTGAGGACAAAACTTTTAGCTCTCTAAGCTTTCTCTCTAAAATGCCTTCATTTATCAAACTTCCAGACAGTAAAAAACTTTGAGAGTTTCAACTATTTTATCTCCCAATATTCACAGGTTTCAGAGTGCAAACATGAAAACGTAAAAGCTTCACCTGGATTATGGGAAAAAAAAAAACAAGAATAAAGGATATCTTACTTTTTATTTTATCTCGTTCAGATTCTGATGGGAATATCCAATCTGGAAAAAGTTCTTCAAATTTGACTCCAGGATACTTTGGTCTGTTTTCCACATAATTCCTCACAGTTGGCTGAAGTTTCTTCATGAAATCTGCTGATGGTGTTCCTAGCTGCTCAATAACTTTATTCCATTGATCAATATCTAAGGGGTCTCTTCAGGAAAATACAACTGAAATGCTTTATATCCATATTACTTGAAGTAGCATCACTCAAAGAAAACCTTAAATTATATTCATATCCATCACAAGTAATTACCTGGGCCAGCCACCCACCCCACACCCCCCGGGTTAGCAGAAGCATTTTGAAATAATATTCAAATAAAATTTGGGTTTCCAACTTTAGACTATTTTAAAAAACTTTTACACTCTGCATTTTTGTAAACTATGATCACAGTTTATTACAATCAACATACTGAGGTCTACAAATCTTTCCACTCTAGATCAAAATAAAGTTATCTTGTGATTAAAGAATACTTAAGTGCTTGGCTACTAACCTAAAGGTTGGTGCTTCGAACCTACCCAGCGGCTCTCCAGGAGAAAGACCTGGTGATCAATTTCCGTAAAGATTACAGCAAAGAAAACCCTATGGGGCAGTTCTACTCTGTCACATGGGGTCGCTATAAGTTGGAATCGATTTGACAGCAGCACCCAACAACAACACAACACAACTGATTAGATAAACATGAAACTAGAGAAACATTATATAAGTACCAAAGTAGTGAGGAATAGAATTTGCAGTTTTTGTAGCTGGGGAAACAAGGCCCTGTGAAGTGGGACAGGACAGGTATGAAGATGGTTAGTGCAGAGGCAGGACCACAGCCCTGGGCTCTTCTGATCCCTTCGCCTACTCGTTTCCCACTAGACCACATTCCTTCCCTGTAGCTGGGTTTAGACTGAGAAATAGCATCTTTGAAATGTCATTCTGTTTTGTTGTTGTTAGTTTCCAATGAGTAGATTGCAACTCATGGTTTTCAAGGTTGTGATCTTTTGGAAGCAGATCACCAGGCCTGTCCTCTGAGGCACCTCTGGGTGGGTTTGAACTGCCAACTTTTCAGCTAGTGGTTGAGCACTTAATCATTTGTGCCACTCAGGGACTTCTTCATTCTGTTTTACTTGGTATTAACAGCAACCATCACTGCAATACCTAGGTAATGCATTTTATCTTCTCTCAAAATATACGACCTGGGTTTTAGTCTCAATTGTGCCACTAAACACTCAAAAGGTGTTAGGGAAGTCAATTTCCCTTGGGTCACAACTTCCTTACTTGTAAACATAGACAATACCAGCGCAGCCCATTTCACTGTGTGGCTGTCAGGCTTCAGATAACATGTGTGGAACAGTGATTTTGAAACTGTAAACAACTGTACAAGAGGATACAAGCCAAGGGAAAAAAAAATCATGTAAATGGCAACTTTAAGAAGAGTGATCAGTTGAGCCATGTCTTAGAAAAATGAAACTGCATCCCTGTGAAATAACCGAGGGAACAGATACACGAGCTTAGTTCTTCCAAAAGGTTGTTTCTGCAAACCTGCTCGGGAAATGGGTTTCAGACATTTGAATCACTAGGGCATCTCCTTAACTCCTGTGTTTCATGCATACTGCTGAACCAGAATTACGCCTTAATTTTCTTACGTATTCATTAGCCAAAGGAGGAGAAAGATGTGGCAGTCTGCTTCCGTAAAGGTTTACGGCCTTGGAAACCCTATGGGACAGTTCTACTCTGCCCTACAGGGTCGCTATGAGTCTGAACTGACTTGATGGCAGTGGGTTTTTTTTTTTTTCATTTAGCCAAAATGTAAAAACAATTTCACCCTTTTCCTTCTCTCCTTATACTTCCTACAGCTTTCCCCCATCCTCACTCTTCTCTGCAAAAACTGAACCCATCTGATGAGAACGTCTGCAGACCCCCAGGAGTCTCTCCCACCCAGCAGCTGTATACCATTGACCACCGAGGGACCACCTGGGTCCCAGCTAAGCAAGCCCTGCTTGTCCTCTGGCCCACTAGAGGACAATGCTCCCACAGTGCCTTCTTGCTCCTACACCATGAACATTTTGCTCTCCACCGGAGCATTCACATCACCATTCAAACATGATGTCTTCTCTCATGCTAACACAGCCACTGCTCTCTTTTGACTCCATTTCCCCCTATTTCTTCCTCTCGGTTTGCAGTGAAACTCCTTTTAAAGAGTTGCCTATACTTGTATCTCTAATTCCTTGCCTCCCATTTCTCTCTTAAACATACTCGTACTGTACTGTCTCCCCTGCCATTCCATGAAAACTGCCAGTCACCTTCACATCACTAAATCCAATGGTCAGTTCTCAGCCTGTATCTTTTTTTGACTTGTCAACAAATGTGACTGCGTGTATCTTTCATCTCGTGGGCCCCAGGGCACCTTGCTCTCTTGGCCCACCTGCATCACTAAAAATGATTCTCAATTTCCTCCCCCTGTTCCTTCTCCCTCCACCACCCCAGGGGGCTCCATCCTTGGTTCGTTTCTCTTCTTTCTCCACAAACATTCACTACCAGTCCCAAGGTTTCAAATCCCATTGACAGAACAACAACCTCTCTCCTGAACTCCACTCTCAGTTTTCCTAACATGGCTCTGTGAAGGTTCTATCTGCAACACAGATGCAGAGTCAACCCCTTCTCATCACCTTCAGTGCTACCACCTGGGTGGGCCTCTCCACCTCAGCTGGAAAACCACAACAGCTCTGCACTGCCCCCTGCTACTACTCTTGCCCTAGATGGCAACCCTCAATACAGCAGCTGAGGGATTCTCTTAAAACGAAGTTAGACGAGGAGCCTAGAAGGTGCTCAATCAGTATCTGCTGAAGTAATGAGTAAAGGGTCATTTTTACAGACTAAAGAGGAGGTAGGAAGGAGAAAAATAACCCCAACATGCTTGGATGACCTTCTGGGTTGCGTATCTACATATACCACTGTCAGAAAACCCCACAGCCCTGAGGGGCAGACCACAGGACTCTCAATTTACAAACAGGGAAACCAAGGCTCAGAGAGGCCCAGAATTTCCCTAGAACACATAGCTACCATGTAGAGGAGTCAGAACTTGGTTGGGCTCAAGGTGGTCTGGCTAAAGCTTTTTCTTTCTCATTCTCACAGTAGGGACAGGAGTTCCTTTTGTACGCCTGGTCACAAATCTAAAGCCAATCTCTACGAACCTCAGACTGGTTTCCAGAATCTTTTTCTACACCAAGAATTTTAATATAATGTCTGAAAACACTGGCAAAATTTTCTTTGAAATACAATGTTAATCTCTGTGATTTTTTTTTTTTGAGAATAACATTAGATGACCTTACGTGTAAAACTATTAATTAATGACATTGCAAACTGCCAATATATAAAGGAGGAATTTTTATTACCTAATGATGTAATGAAAAATACATTTTTCATTTTTGTAGTTTTTGAAGAAAATACTTCTTAATTAGCAAAATAAGGAAAGGAACAAAATGCATGCAAACTGAGAAAAACTAAACAGATGTTTACCAGACACTTCTAGATAATTTATCTTTAGAAAACACCAACTTCTCCCTTTTTAATTGAGTTTACTAGCAAAATATCCCCCAAAAAACCCATTGCTGTTGACAATTCTGACTCATAGTGACCCTACAGGACAGAGTAGAACTGTCTCATAAGGTTTCCAAGGAACACAGCTGGTGGATTCAAACTGCCAACCTTTTGGTTAGCTTTTAACCACTGTGCCACCAGGGCTCCTAGAGGCAAAATAAAGACCTACTTATTCACAGCCTGAAACAGTGAATCTGAGATAAGGATATGAAAAACTGCTAGAAAATTTATTACAACAAAATAAAATGCTGTATTTCGCTTAATATATTATAAAATTTATGATGAGGAAAATGTAAAGAAAGATAAAATGATATGAGTAAAAGCTTTTCATTCCAAGTTGGTGTTGTGAAGGATCTGTAAGAAAACCGCCCTCATAAAATTATAAAAAACTAAAATTACTTTAACAAAATACATACAAAACACTGACTCCAGAGCTTGATTTCCTTTAAAAACAACCATCAGTCTGCCAATGGACAGAGACTACTTTAAGCTTTTATAACAAAAAACAAAACCAAAGACTAATGAAAATATTATGTAGTTAGAACACAAATGAAAAAAGGCATATGTGAAGAACCATGTTAGGGTTAAAAATATTAAAGATGGAAGAATGACTATTGGAGGACAGAAAGCTATTATAACTATTATATCATCTATTCTCCTTTACACTACATTAATATGATTTGCTGACCACAGTATAACTTAACCTTTTGCATTTTATATTTACTCAGACTTTTCTGATGTGCCACAAAATAGCCCTATAGATAAATTTCTATTAAATGTCAGCAGAATAACAAATATGAAAATTTAGCTTCTCACAAAATTTTCATTTAATACTTTTTACATAGGTCTTACATAATGTGCTTCAGTTCTTACTTCGAGGAAAAATATTTTAATGCATACTTACAACTAACAAAATAGTATATTAATTTAATCACACAGACATACTGGCCTATTAAATTTAGATCTCAACTTTCCTAGTTAAATTAATTTAATGAATTAAATAAACTGTATTTTTGTTTAAATATCAGACTACCAAAGAGTAAATAATTTCTTATATACGTCCAGCTAGTTTTCATAAAACTAAGAGCTCATTTAAATGGTTTAACTTAACTCTAAGCCTCAATAAAATCATCATATGTAGTCAAATAAAAAAGAAAATATAAAATTGAACCATTTGGCTTATGACACTAATTTAACAAACATAACAAAGACCCAATTAGAACCCAGTTTAGAATGATGACATTTTCCCTTTGCGCATTCATATAAGTAGTTAGAATCATTCTGCCTCTGGCATTTATGGAAAACATGGCTGGGGTTCAAGATCCCGGGGAAGGATACGATCAGTGCCTTGGAATATCACACAACCTTTCACCAGTTCTCCCATGATGCAACCCACTGACCAGATATCAACTGAAAATAAAATGAAATGAAAAATTATGAAGTGCATGAACAAAACAAAGGTGAAAAAAAGGAATTCTAACAGTGTACTAAACACACAAATATGGAAAAATAAATTGCTAGCTAAGGGTGGACTTTTCACACAATATGAACGATTGCTGACCTCTATTTTTAATCTTCAGTTTGCAGCAATCTGGGGTTTTAGTGCCAAAGATTCCAATACTTTACAGCTTTAAACAAACAAACAAACAAACAACAAAAAACCAAGAAACAAGCAGTGCCCATAAAGCCCTAGCCCTGCCCCTGCTCCCCCACCAGCCTCTATGCATGGTGACTCCCTGTGAAGGATACAGTCTCTTCCCGGGAACAGGACTTTATGGAGGACCATTTCTGCCATGATGCACCCGACAGACCAGATGTCCACTACCAAATATCAGGGGATTAAAAACGAGCCTGATGTCCCACATGTCTCTTCCCCAAACCTCCTCCCAAAAGAAGTCCAAAACCATTCACTGTCACCAGCTCGCTGACGGCAGCATTTGGGGAGTGCTGACTCTCTTCTGAGTGGTCACTGCTGAGCTGCAGTGCACTCCAGGGCTCAAGGGGAGGCCCTGAATTCCGTGGGGCCTATCTTCTTCTGCTGGGCCCCAGCTGTACCCCATGCCTCTGACTGCACAGGTAGAGAACTATTTTAATTGCCCCTGCTAGGGTGGGGAGAAGTTAACAGGGGACCTGATTTTCTCTCATCTCAGGGAACCATCAAGAAGCCCACAGAGGTTTGCTTCTCCAAGTGGGAGCACAAGCTACCAAGCATTTAAATAAACCTGTGTGCTTTTCTATATGTATGTTACACTTTTATACAATGTTCAAAAATACTAATTTCAAAAGTGAATTTTTTAACATGAATTATTTTAACCAATAGGAATACAAAGTTAATTATTTCTTGTCTATGGGCTATGATAATCTATGTATATAATACAGTTCCCACACTGTATTTCATATAGTACAAAGGAAAGAGAAAAAATCTGATGATGACCAACTGCACTCTTAAAAACGCCATTCGCTTCATGCAGCTCGGTCAGTACTCACCATTCTCTTTGTATCCCATGCCCAGGATGACTTCGGGGGCTCGGTAATACCTTGTTACCACATAGGGGGTCATCATGAAGTTAGTGCATGCTGTCCGGGCCAGACCAAAATCAAGGATCTTAAGGGTGCAGTCTGATTTTACTACGATGTTGCTAGGCTTCAAATCCTAGGAAGAAATGGTTTAAATTAATAAACTCAAACTAGGGGCTCCTCTCTCTTAGGAGCTGGTAAAGTAGGTAATACAAGATGAAGTGATTTGTTTCTAGCTTCCTTTTTTAAAACCAAGGAATCTGGCAAAAATGGGTAGAAAGAACTACAAATTGCTAATGTAAAATGATGTTCAACTCCTCCCCACATACATGCACACATACATGCACACGTGCCCAAACATACACGCACGTACACACACACGGCCCATAATACATACCACACACATGCACACACTCATACTCCACAGTACATACCACATGCACACACACACACAATCACAAGCACCACTTTCAGTTGGGCCTGTGGCAGATTTGGGAGGACGGAGGCACCCAATGTGGTGGGTGAGAGAAACAGGCCCTTCCTCACATGTTATTTGGTGGGGGGGATGAATTTTTTTTTTAATTTTCTTTTTATTGTACTTTAGGCAAAGGTTTACAGAACAAATAGTTTCTCATTACACAGTCAGTACGCATATTGTTTTATGACATTGATTAACAACCCCGCATATCAACACTCTCCCTTCTTGACCTTGGAGGACCTTTTTTTTGGTGAAAATAAACATAGCCAAAGTTGCACCATGTCAAAAGTTTCTACAGGTACAATTCAGTGACATCTACTACATTTTTCCAGTTGTGCTGCTATTCTCACTATCGTTTTCCAAATCATTCCATCACCATTATCTTCAACTCACTGCCCCCTAGGCTTCCCATCAAACCTTTGGAGTTGCTGTTGTCAATTTGATCTCACATAGATAATTCTATTTGTTTTTGTACTTTAGATGAAGGTTTACAGAACAAATAGTTTCTCATTAAACAGTTCACATATTGCCCTATGACAATGGTTAACAACCCCATGACATGTCAACACTGTCCCTTCTCAAACTTGGGTTCCCTATCACCAGCTTTCCTGTCTCTTCCTGCCTTCTAGTCCTTGTCCCTGGACTGCTGTGCCTCATTAGTCCCATTTTGTTTTATGGGGCTGTCCAATTCCTGGCTGAATGGTGAACCTCGGGAGTGACCTCACCACTGAGCTAAAAGGGTGTCCTGGGGCCATACTCTTGGGGTTTCTCCAGTCTCTGTTAGGCCAGTAAACCTGGTCTTTTTTTGTGTGTTAGAATTTTGTTCTACATCCTTCTCCAGCTCTGTCCAGGACCCTCTGTTGTAATCCTGGTCAGAGCAGTCAGTGGTGGTAGCCAGGCACCATCTAGCTGTACTCAGTCTGATGGAGGCCTTGGTAGCCGTGGTCCGTTAGTCCTTTGGACTAATCTTTTCCTTGTATCCTGTTCTCTACATTCTCCCTTGCTTCTGAAGGGGTGAAACCAGTGGAGTATCTTAGATGGCTGCTCCAGATGCTACTTGGGGGTAAGTTTTTAAAATCTGCAATACCCAGCAGACCCTGAAATGCAACCTGGTCTAGAAGTAATAGCACAACCACATGAACAAGGGTAGTTGGTGCAACACCACTCCAACAATGGCAACAGTGGTAACTCCTTCCACAGGGCAGCCTGCTAGCAAAATACCCCATCTCCAGACACTTCTATCTGTCAGAAAATTGTCATACTATACCGATTCTGTTGGAACAACACTCTTTACTGCCATCTGCTGAGAAACCGTGATAATGAGATATGGATCTAGGATGTCTACAATGTGTACAGCTGCCCCTCATGGTGCGCGTGCAAGGCACTGCCTGTGTGAAGGAAGAGGGGCCTCACCCCTCAATGTTTACCAGTGGGGAGAGGGTTAAAGATACCACAGAAGTACCTCAGAGCTCTCCCCACGCCCACGGCCTCTCTCCAATCAGCCTCCAAAATACAGAGTCATCTTTCCAAAACTTAACCGGGCTTTGTTTTAAGATGGCAGAACAAAGACAGTTCTGCCCTTCAACTCTTAAAAACCACCCCAAAACAAGGAAAACAAACACATGAATCAGAAGACAAACGACACCTTGCAGGGGCCATGGAAATGTACCACTCAGACTTCCTGCCACCGAGAAAGGCCCGGCACAATGCTGAGTTCATCCCCATGTTTGTGCAGAGGCCACACTTCCCAAGGGCCACTCTTAGCCGATGTCCGAGTGGGGCACGGATACTGAAGCAGGCCGTTATCCCAGAGATGCAGGACTTCTCTGAAGGTGACTTTGGCTCGAGGGCTCCCGTGGCCTGGTCAAAGCTTTCTCAGATCCTGAGACTCTTCTCACCCAACCCTCCTTCCTCCCTCTCTCCTCCAAGGGGCTAGACCTGCACTGCTGTCTAACAGCTCCCCTGCTTCCTCCGACTCCATCCTCTCTTTTCCTTACAGGTATTCTCCCAATAAATCTCTTGCATGTCTAATCCCACCTTAGCACCTACTTCTCTGAAGAGCTGCACTAATGCAAGTGGTACTAAGAGTGGTCTGAGAAAACAGACGGAAAGATGGAGAATTGGGATGGGTGGGAGAAGAGGATGCCATCCTGAGAGATAGGTGGGGCACAGATAACTACCTGGCAAGGGTGACATCCAACTGCTGAAGACTTTAGTGGTGCTAACCTGGGGAGACACCCTGGTGGAGGGAAACACAGCTGCAGGCACGCAGATTCAGACATTTGAAAGGCAGGAGAGGGACAATGCCTACAAGGACAGGGAGTGGGCTGCTGACTGCTCAGTAGTATTGATGCCCTGCAGAGGGATAACGAGAGTAAGGCTCTTAACCAGCAATGGATGGCTAAGTGTGAGAGCCAGAGGGCCTCGGTGATAGACTACGAAGAGGCCTGCTCACCTACGGTGGCAGAGCAGATACAGTGGAGAAGCACATCTGAATGCTCAGCCAAGGCGGGTCTGTTATGCTAAGACCAGAGCCTAGATGGAAAAACCTGGGACCCTAAAAACAGGATGGGGACATCTGGATGGATGGTCCTGAGAATGCTGGCTCTGTAGACCCCCTAAGCTCTTACAGACTGTAGAGATGGCTCACCCCTCCCTAATAAAAGCTGGCACTCCTGCTTGCTGGAAGATGCTGCAGAGGCCTCTCCCCCATGAGGCACCAGGTGTCCATCCTCCCCCATCTCTCTCTGGCTGCCAGGCCAAAAGCTGGGGTTAAATCCCTGTGCAACCTGGCTAGACCTAGTAAGAGAGAATACTGTCCACAGAAGGAGCAGCAAGGATGACCTGGCATGTACCAGCAGGGCCCTGGGTAGGATTTTGAGGGTGCTTAATTGAGGGGCCAGAATGTGAGGCTAGGTAAGCAAGAATCACTGACTTAGAGGCATGTTCTTGGGCCACGTGACTTAACACCCTGGCAAGGACTCCAGGGGATGGGGCAAACTTGCAGATAGGGTGGCTCCTAGAAGTCTGGAAAAAGTAATGGCCACTGCTCATTGAAGTGGAAAGTCCCTAGTTGGCTTTCCCACTTCAGTGAGCAGTGGCCATTACTGCTCACTGAAGTAGAAAGGGCAGAGGAAGGTAGAGGAAAGAGTAAAGAGGCTGAGGGGAGTGGGCAAGCTGGGATGGGTATATTATGTTAGGCCACAAAACCCGCTAGATTATGTTTCATGGGAGGGCTCAGAGGACATCCCCTTCACCAAGGCCATCAGAAGTGTGCTGGTGAGGGGTCCCAGCTCAGTGAGAAGTGACTGTCCTCTGCAGGTCAGAACATCAAACAATAGCACCCACAGGGATAATGGCCCTGCCCTCCTCGATATACTACAGACCAGGTGGCAGCACTTAACTGCCACTACAATCACCCCAATGTGCTTGTGCAATGTGGTTACAATCACAATGACTAGCAAGCTGAAGAAGCCCATGGGGGCTTGACCCACAGGGAGCTGTGGAGACGCTTAACAGAGCATGGTGTCCCTCAGGGTAGCCAACAAGGGTGCAGCAAAGCATCTGTAAGAAAAACGGTAAGAATGGAGGACTAGGAGGCTGAGGTGGTTACCCCAATAAAACATTAACATTCCTTGTCAATTCCTAGATCTGAGCTGATTTTCGGATCCAGAACCCATTGACTAAAGAGGTGTCCTATGAGGAAGGACCCTGGATCATGGCAAATGCACACTATTTTGATTTCCCCAATCCTCCTGCAAAGGTACCTATGACCATTTACTCAGAAAAAAGGAGAAAAACTAGGCATTGTCAGGACACAAGTTCCGAGCTGATATTGCTACCCAAAGACCCAAAGCATCATCACGTCCCATCACCCTGAGAGTTAAGACCATATGGGGCCAGGTAATAAACGGAGTCCTGGCTAGAATACGACTCAGTGGGGTCACTAGGTCCACAAACCCTTCCAGTGGTCATTTCCTCAGTCCCCACATGTAACTGGAATTGATATAGTTGGCAGTTGGAGTAATCCCTGCTTTGTCAGTGGGGAAGGCAAAGTGGAAATTTGAAACTGCCCCCCTTACCAATAAAATAAATCAAAAACACGATTGCATCCTGAGGGGTGCTGGGGTGGGGAACATGGAAGAGATTAGTGTTACCATTAAAACCTGAAGGATACAGGGATTGTTGTTGGTGTTGGGTGCCATCAAGTCAATTTTCGACTCATAGCGACCCCATGTGACAGAGTAGAACTGCCCCATAGGGTTTTCTAGGCTGTAATCTTTTTTTTTTAATTGTTGTAGTTTAAGTGAAAGTTTACAATTCAAGTTAGTCTCTCATGCAAAAATTTATACATACATTGTTATGTGACCCTAATTGCTCTCCCTATACTGTGACAGCACACTCCTTTCCACCTCTGATTTCCCGTGTCCGTTCAACCAGCTCCTAACCCTCTCTACCTTCTCATCTCACCTCCAGACAGAAGCTGCCCATTTAGTCTCATGTAT